GGGGGGGGGGGGGGGGGGGGGGGGGGGGGGGGGGGGGGGGGGGTAGTGGGACAGGGGGGAATGCGAGAGATAGGAGGAGCGTGGGGTGTTTCTTATTCGACACACTCCCCCGTAACCCCTCGTTTCTTTTGTGGTAGGGCAGCGGTCGCCGCTGTTTCTTTTTAGAGACATTTCTTTTTGTGTGACACAGACTGAGCCATGTGTCTTAACCCTATTTTCCTATGTTTCGTGGAAAAGTGAGGCTCTATTTCTTCAAAACAATATTCTTAATTGTGGACGCTAACTGTACGCGAGGATTGGAGGGAAACCCATGCCCGCGAACAAACCTAGGTTGGTAAGTTATTCCAAGGGAGGGGCGGCAAACGCGCGTGTATTCGCCACATGGGGTAATCGTGGCTGAGCAGACCACACGGCCTCCACGCACACAAAACATCTAGACCAAAGAACGATATGGGAAGTTCGAACGCATCGCTACACTTGTGGAAGCAACAGGTAAGGCTCCTGATCTTTCTTCAGTCTTACCTCTAGGGTTACAACCTCTTCAACCGGTTGCTCCCCCAGCGCCGTCAGCTGCCGTCTCAACGTAGAGATCAGCTCGTCCTTGACTCTGATTTGTTCTGCCCACTCTCCATCGGCGGGCACGGGGGCGTTACTCGATGAGACCTGACCCGAGGCACTCTCTACATGCATCGAGACTTCCACCGATGAGGCACTTTTTGGATTCACCGAGACTCCACCCGCAGCACTCTCTGGATTTTTCGAGATTTCACCTGGGGCACTCTCTGGACCGTGGGTACTAGCTTGACAAACAGCTGGATCACCACCACTAGCTGGAACATCACCAGCAACCGGGTCGCCCGGCGAGTCACTGCTGGCCATACCGTGACTAGCTGGGTCAATCCCGTCAGCTGATGCTGGCCTCCTGATTGACCGGGTTGGGGAGGCTGACTTCGAGGTTGGGCGTGGCCTCCACGGAGTCAAGCCCCGCAGCATCCTCTCCCTCCTAGCCGATCGGGTATCTTCCTCGGAATTGAGTTCATTGTTCGGTCGACCGTCGGGCCCGTACACGCCACTTTCCGTAACTGAATCAAGAAAGAAGTCGGCACCTCGCTTGCTCGTCATCCTTTCGGTCGTAGTTTTCCAAGCCGTAGATGATCCCCGCGGAAAATGCATGTGGTTGATGCTTCGTTGGGACCAACATTGGTTCGTGCTTTGCCAACTTGGAGCGAGTTCTTCCTGCAACGAAGGGCCGTAGGTTACGTACAGGCAGTATCGGTTGCGGGCTAAGACATCATCTGTGTCATTACTCTACATGGCACACATTTTCGAAAATTTGACGAGCCCTACACTCGATCGATCTGTATTGTCTACGTGGGAGAGGGGAGGAACCCCCGCCCCTCTTCGATAGCTTAGTCTGTCCAAGTGTGTGCCATTCGCGTGGACCTATCGGATGCATTGTCGAGTTGTTTCCCACATAACGTACGGTTCCCTCCGTTAGGCTATAGTATCCTGCTTCCGCCCTTGTGTCTCACTCGCATTGCTGTCTCGCACACTGAGCAGGCCCGACGACGCTCGGCGATAACCTCTCCCTCACTGTTGCACTCCAGCTCCACTTTCACGATGGAGGCACAGTGCAGACAGAAATCAGCGGCAGGAACCATGCGCCCATGAGAAGTGCCGGTGTTATCTCCCTTGTGTCGGGCTTCCCGCCCTGCCGTTTGGACATGGTCTTGGCGCAACTTGCCGACGAGGGGGGCATCGGAGTCGTTCCCGCTGCTGCTGGTGTTCTGATAGCGGTGTAGCATAATCATCCACTCGCGGCGGGCATCGTTCAGCTTGTTGACCCAATCCCCACGCGAAATGTTGCTGTTTACTGCGGGAGGTCGTCCCACTGCCGACGGGTGGTGCGGGGGCATCGTGCAACAAAGAAGAACTGCCAACTTCGTCGGATCGAAATTTGTTGTATGAGCAATTATGCGCTCTTTTGAGCCCAACGCTGAAGGAGGAAGGCGAGCACCCAGAATAGTCTACACACGATACATGGTATGCGAGAAGGGCGAATGAAGCTGGTACGAGACGGGTGTTGTATGTTGGCAAGTATCACCCGCACGTCGTGTATACATGCGTACATCAACACGCGAAGAGATGTTCGGGACTTCCGTCTACAATGTACATTCTCTGTACGCGAAAGAGAGAGGCGTTTCGCCCGGCTACATTTATTTATTACGCAGCCATTTTTTGCCACCACGATCGACCACGAACACTCCGAACTTCGCATTCTAGAAACACGTCGACCTGAACGATTTCCTCTCACATACCGAGGTATGTAGCACATGCAGACTACATGATAACTTACCGTCAAGCACCTACATACTCTGCTGTACCACCACACACACACGGCTACTTGCATAGATAGGCTAAGGTTATTTTATCCCCCGCTACTAGATTAGGTTTTCTGCGTGCTTGTTCCCGACGATGGTATCTTGATATCATCATGATGAGCGCACCACAACAACAGCGAGAGTCTGTGTACACCCACAGCAGCACACAGCAGCACCCACATAGAAGACAATAATGATGGCATGATGACACAACAAATATATTATGGCACAGCGTGCGGAAAATTATTTCGCCGTGTGTGTGTAGATGTATCATCGTTGATCACATCCAACGTACACGTACACTAGTTGATTGGAAAGTAATACGCCAGTCTCTCGTACGTACGCACAAGAGACGTCAACGAACAAACATGCCGCGGTACTAGAGCTGAGTTTTAAAAGATGCATGATGATGAGCATGATGAGAGAGATTACTACCATGAAGAGAGGGGGAGAAATAGAGCGAGTGCGTGGCTCAGAGGTCCCTTGTATGCTAGTACACCAGCTGGGTATCACTGAAAAATCGTGTATGCAGTGTATGTAGTAGCAGACATACAAAGACTCGAAATAAGTCCAGTACCCAGCCGGTTTTCGTCCACTCACTGTAAAGACTCTATCTACCACGTCCCGTTCGACTGCTGTGACTATATCTCGTACGGGTAGTCTTTCGGCGTGTGTACAATGGTACGTTACCCTTTGATTTTTTCTTTAGGCGGGTGTGAGGAGCTTTATTTGGTTTTATATAATATTTTATTTTCTTAATATCACAGAACAAATCCATCTCTTCTAGACTATCTATCTATAGAAATAAGTCTAAGATAGATTTTGCAATGAATCCATAGCGTGAGCAAAAAGCTTCCTGTATGTCTACGGTTTCCCAGGCAGCATACAACGATATCTCCCCTCTGTGGGTAACAGGCTCAACAAGACAGTTTGGTAGCCATCTTGTGTATCTATTAAAAATAGCTGTATGTTATGTTGGGACGTTGCAGACGGAAGATTGGGGAACTCGGTTTGTCGGGTGTTCTATTATGGGACCCTTATGTGGTTGCGGAACAAGCGCGTCTCGGGGTGTGCATATATTTTCGGCATCAACTTATTTTTTGTGCGTGATTGATGTATGGGGGCGTGTGCGGCGCGGGAGAACTTGGTTTTATTTTGATCGGTTTCCGAGGGCTCTTTTCTCCAAGGAAGGGTCGGTGCGGTACCTGGTATGTTCTTTTTATCATTTTGTTTCCTTTTTCCGAGCGGTTTGTACCGTATTTTGTTTTGCTTCCTTCCCCGCGGCGTCGTATGTATGCGCCGGGTTTTGAGACCACGGGCTCCCCATTTTTTGTGAACTAATGAGCTTTGGTATACCTTTTCTAGGTACGTTAGCCTGTGACCACGGAAATTGACCGAGTCAAGTGCTGGATTAGTACGGAGAGATTGAGACAGAAGGAGGTACTGGATAGAGAGACCGGGATGGTTTTTAATGTGAAGACAACAACAACAACAACAATGAGCTACTGCTGTAGTAATTAAATGTGAGAAACAACAACAACAACAACAACAACAACCTATTTTTTCTTTTTCTTTATCGAAACACAACGAATCCATCTCTACTAAGAAAGTAGTCGAAGAGCATTGAATCCATGGCGTCAGAGAAGGCTAGCTGTGTTTCCATAATTTTCCCTATAAATATTCATATGTACGACCAACGACAAGCGCGAAGGATGGATCACAAAGCAAGCAGTGCGGCGAATTTTCCCAAAATATCGATTTTGCGGGGTCTTTTGGTATCAAGAAGGCACGCTTACCGAGCGCTGCAGAGCAGGGCTCCCCCTCTGCAGAGGCGTCACCTAGCAAGCGACGTGAGTATTGGACAACATAAGTTGTCTAAGAGAGCTTACGAGCATATTGCAGCAGACCGCTTGGGAATCTCTTTGCCCAACAACAGGCAGTAAAGAGCCGAATCTCTGTTCAAACAGAGTTGTAACAAGTCAACAGTTATAAAATATAGCCGCGCAAGAAGAACATATCGCGAGCAAATAAAATGCGGGCATGTAGAGTACATTGGCAAATCCCCCTCCCCGCGCGCCGACTCTCCCCATCTCAACATCTCAACACAAAAAGAGCCCGCGACGTTGAGGTTGTCGCCGCTCCTGTTACTGATCTGCCTGTGGCGAGAGAATTGGACCACGCACCGCACGGGTGGGAGTTTGTTGCAGCGCCCAAGGAAGAAGGCGGAGACCACAACAGTAGTGCAACAGACCTCCAAACAGCCAAAAAGTGGGTCAACGACCAGCCCCCGCCTACTGAGGCCAGCAACCACTCCATTTGTCCAGGTGAACACAACCCCCCGCCTTCAGGTCTTGAGGGTGCTTGACGAAAAACGCTCTTGTGCCTGGCACGGGCGTAGGGAGAAGAGAAGTCAGCAGAAGCACGCACGCGCGCGAGGGGTCCATGGTCTCCTTGTCGTTTTCGTCGGCCTTTCACGATGTCTCTGTCGGGCGCGATTCGCTCAACTTCCACACCTTCGAGCGCGCTCTCAAGGACATGGATGGAGACACGAGCGACGCGGCCGACCCCGCCGAGGAGAGGGCGGGGCTGGCGGAACCCTCCAAGCCGGCACGGCACGGCTCCGTCTTTGCGGTGGCCACGCCGCCAGCCACGCCGGAGGCGGCGGCAGATAGACTAGAGGGCGAGCAGCACAATCATCACCAGCAGCAGCATCAACAGCAGCAGCAGCAGCAGGCTGAACCGCCGCCGCCGCCGCCGCCGCCGCCCTCCTCCTCAGCAGGAAAGCCGGCGGTGGCGATGTACAGGCAGATGTCCGCGCACAGACTGTTTCGCGCGGCTCCGCCCGAGCCTAAGAGGCAGCAGTGGAAGGTCTGCGAGGAGACTCCGCTTGCCGGCGACGACACCGTCGCCGCCTCCGCCGCCGCCTCTCCCATGTGCGGGGAGGACTCGAGGCTGCGCTCATTGTCCTGGCACGCCTCGGACTGCAGCAGGCGGTCACCTCCTCCTCCCCCGGGACTGGAATACAGCCACAGCAACAGGAAAAACGACCGCTTTTTCCCAAAGAGGATAGTAGGACGTGACGACAGAGAGGTGCGAGTTGTTGCGATTTCGTAGTGTCGATGTTCCCAGCTACGGTTGTTGCTCGGCGGGCTCATCTTGCCTACGTGAGACAGAGAGACCCAGCAGCAGAAAACTTATGCGCACCAAATGTTTACTTTGTTTGCTTTGGGTGAGACCACCTGGCGAGGAACACATGTTTGTTTTTTGCGCCGCCCTCCGCCAAAACCTGACAACACAGACGGGGTTGCGTTGCCCTCCCTGGTTTTCTAACCCCCTCAAGCTCTCCCCTGTCTCCGTGGAGCAGGTGCTGGATGGCTCAGACGTCCTACAGCAGATATCGAACGTCACCAGCACAGAGCCTAGCAATGAACGCGAGGTGAGCGTGAAAGGGACGAAGGGGCGGCCTGCTTCTTCCCTGCTGTAGGAAAAGTCAAATCTTGCCTTGTTCGGAGTCCAGGTCGGATTCGGGCATATCGACAGAAGGTTCAACTTTCACGCCACAAGAAATCATTCACATGCGTTTCAGCGATGTTTTGAAAGTTGGTTCGCTGTGGACAGGCTTGTGCAACGGATGAAATCTGTCGTGAACTCCCCCAGCAGAGGAAGCACTTTATGATGGTTGCTTTGTTCTGCATCATCGCGAGAATTGAAACGCTCGATTTCAACCTCTCGAGGTTCTGAAACTTGAGCTCGTTGCAGCCACATCAAAAATATGTATTTAGTGTTGCTTGTTTTCACCTAACAAACCATGCTTTCCTTACCAACATTCTGTCTACCGACAGGCATTCGGCCTTCCCATCGTTTATGTACCAGACCAGACCGTTTGGCATGTGCAATAAAAGACATGCTTCGCTCCCTTCGTTGGGTATTTGTTGCGACTCGATGACCCCTTGTGCTTAAGTTTCTTTCCATGAAATATTCTCACCCAATCAGACACACCCTGGACGAGTAGGTTGGTTCGGCTGGCAGATTCCTCTTAAGCATGCACATGCTGATGACAGCCTGCAACAAAAGGTTGCTCCGAATTGCTGGGGTTCCGGAAGGAAGGGGCCGCACCCATTAAGTTCCACAGTTGTTGAAGTGTTCCAAGCGTTTCTTATTCTCCACATAAGCTGACCCCCTAGCCAATCTGTGACTCAGGACATTTTTCGAGGTCGTGGCGGTTGCAGTCCGTTTTTTGGCGGCACACCGTCGGCTTGATGTCACATGCAGCCGTAGCGCCGATGACGCATATACCGTTTATGACACAAGATAACACACCCTTGACCAATTTTCGAAGCTCGATTTCCCAACTGCAGGAACAGTCAGCGCCGAAAACGGCGGCGTTGAAACCTTCTCGTCGAGGGCTTTTCGAAAATGTATCGTCTCGTTCATGCATCCTCTTCGTCGTGGAGTAATCGAGCTTTGAAAATCGGTCCAAGGGGTGTGTTATCTCATGTCATATACGGTATACGGTGCACGAGAGAGAACCTGATTTAGTTTCTTTACGAGATTTCATACTCAAGAAATCCAGACATAAAAGTGAGTCATTTTGGCTTCTCCTAATCCCTTCTTTGACCGTAGCAGCCACTGCTGCTGTATACTCCTTTGTCGGCTGCCACGTCCTCAATCACGGTATATGCGTACGCACAGTACCGCCGTCTCATCAGACCACTGTTTATGGCAAAAATATCTTCATCTTCCTTTCTTTCGACAAATGTTGGCTTTTTCGACCTTGTGGGCAGTCTGCCTCCCGAACGAGTGCGAATAAGCTGTTCGACCTTTGAGATCAGTCACAGCTTTGGCTGAGATGTCTACAGATCGCCTACATGTTTCGCCAGGGTCCACGTTTGATTTCTTCAAGGTGCGCAATTTTCACGCAAGATTTTTCCAACACCAGCTTTTGGACAGATCTTGGCCCAAGATTTGCTCCGAGGTCGCTTTTCGGTCGAATCTTCAACATCTTGCTCTGCTGGAAAAAAATCAAACGTGGACCCTGGCGAAACATGTAGGCGATCTGTAGACATCTCAGGCAAAGCTGTGACTGTTCTCAAAGGTCGAACAGCTGATTCGCACTCGTTCGGGAGGCAGACTGCCCAAAAGGTCGAAAAAGTCAACATCTGTCGAAAGAAAGGAATATAGAGATTTTTTGCCATAAACAGTGGTATCACACCCGTGAAATTATTTTTTTACCGCTACACTGACACTGATATTCCGACACAGGTATTCGTCGGTGGTCTGAGAGAGAGCGAGGACGCTGTGCATATCACGGAGGAAGAGCTGGCCACGTATTTCGCAAAGTTTGGCGTGATCGAGAGCGTGTCCATCAACCGGGATGACCGCACCCAGCGCGGCCGCGGGTTCGCCTTCGTGAAGTTCTTCCAGGAGGTGAGCAGGGTCGCGAATATACATGCATTCATCGTAGGCCTCGCATATGTATGAGTGTGCCCCCGAACCCAACGAATCTACAATGTATCTCTCGCGGCCGGCAGGGTGTGTGTGCGCGCCCTTTGGCTTTCGCTTCATCGGCCTACATACGCAAAGTCAGCAGCGCAACTCGTTGATATATGTTATTGGGTAGTTGGTGCGTTCCTCACGATTATTTCGCGCGCAACCCCTCATGTTCCGAGAGAGTCTCTCAAACTGTTCTGCCTCGAATTTTTTCACCGGATAGGTCTTGATTCATTCGGGCTTTGCCAGTCTCTGCTCCTGGCCTAGTGGATAGCGCTAGTTCGTGTGTACACAGAGAGAAGAGAGTGCTGAACTCTTCTCGCATTAAAAATCGAAGGCAAAGTACCGCAGGAGGGGAGGGAAGAGAGGGGCTCTTCTGTGTGACCACGGGTTGGAGTAAACGGCACTAGTGCCGTGAGCGCTGATTTGAGTGAAGACAAAAAAAAAATAGCCTTGACATCTTGACCGAAAGGACCATCTGCGTACCGTTGGTAGATCACGTAAGACATGACGATACCCACGCATTGATGCGATAGGCATCACACAACGCCGTCGGTCACACCCGGGTGTTTTTTCGCATGTCGAATGCGAGCGCAACTCAACTTTGATCAAGGCAGTGGCACGAAGGACACCCCACCTTCTTCGTTGAACCGCATGTAGTAGCCGTTGACCCCCTCTTTTCGCGTTCTGTGATAAATAATAGTATCATGCGGGTGCCACGGACATTATTGCTTTGGTGGTTGTCTTGACAACGAAAATCTTTCATGTACCGGTCGGTGCTGGTTGGTCCTACTGACGCTGACGCCTTCCGTAGTCACAAGCGAATTTCCCCCAATCAAGGGGTAAATTGGCTTCCCAATACCGTATTTTTTGTTCATTACCTAACATGAGCCCTAAGGCCCATGTTTATGGTTTCCAAACCTCTATCTTCCTTCCTTCGGACAAATGTTGACTTTTTCGACCTTTTGGGCAGTCTGCCTGCCTCCCGAACGAGTGCGAATCAGCTGTTCGACCTTTCCGAGAATAGTCACAGCTTTGCCTGAGATGCATACAGACCGCCTATTTGTTTCGCTAGGGTCCACGTTTGACTTTTTTCCAGCAGAGCAAGACGTAGAAGATTCGGCCGAAAGGCCAATCTCGGAGCAAATCTTGGGCCAAGATCTGTCCAAAAGCTGGTGTTGGAAAAATCTTGCGTGAAAATTTCGCATCTTGAAGAAATCAAACCTGGGCCCTGGCGAAAAATGTACGCGATCTGTAGACATCTCAGCAAAAGCTGTGACTGATCTCAAAGGTCGAACAGCTGATTCGCATTCGTTTGGGAGGCAGACTGCCCACAAGGTCGAAAAAGCCAACATTTGTCGAAAGAAAGGAAGATAAAGATACGGAAACCATAATGGGCCTATAATAGCAACATCATTTTCTGCCGGTCGGAGATCCAATCCGTGGCCAATACCGAAGGGTTCTCTCCCTGGGGTTCCCCACCCACCCTTCCTGCAGTAGCATTAACAAGAACGGACGTTGGGGGTTTTCAGCTGCGCATTTCCTTGTCAGCCTCTCCCCAGTTTGAACCTGGTTTGAGCCCAGCGGTTACCAGCACCTCGTGCAGCCTCATATAGATCTTGGCTTGTAGCCAACAGCAGGCAGGCGGCCCAAGCAAGTCATTTCCGCCATCGACAACGCTGTTGTTACCCTTCGGTGTGTTTAAAGCTCTTGCTGCTGTGTCAAAACTTCAGCCGAAGCCGAATGAATCCCAGAGAAGCTTAGGCTTCCACGATCGTCTGGCAGGCGGCACTACAAACATCCGTAGATGCGCTTGCTACATACTTATCATCAACCGTTTGCTTCTGTCTTCAACTGCGGCCAACCCTCCGGGTGTAAAATGGTCTTCATGTCTGAATTGATACAACCGGGGCTTGAATTCATTATCTTTGGAGTCCGGTTGCACCAACGGCTGAGCTGTGGTGTCTAGCTCCGGTGTTTACTTTCTCAACATAATCCAAAACGAGACGTGTTAAGTTGATGTATCAATGGTAGCGGTGGTACAGCTCACCTGCGTCTTTTTTTTTTTTGTACACGGGGCAACAACCCGCGGCGGGGAGGGAAAGTGTGCCGTTGAGACTCTCTCAGCGGCCGCAGCGCTTGTTTTATTCCATTACGTGGTTTTTGAGTGTTGGCGGTCGGCTGTCTTTTTTTTTTTCATCGGGTTGGTTTCAAGCGTTTTTTGCTGATACATCCTGGTTCCAGCTTTGGCGATGTAAATCAGGGCAGACTTGCCTTGGTTTTCTTGTCTTTCTTGTCTCCCGTTGTCACCGTTCAGGTATCGGGGTGCTCTCTGTTGGTGTGCACTCGCAGCACTAGCAGCGCACACTCGTTCGCAATTTTCCCGGAGAGAAAACCGCACAGGTTTGTGCGGCCTTGCACGTATGTGGTGAAGCACGCGAGAAAGAAGCGTGTGCTACCCTTAACATCACACACTATTTTGTAGGTGGCGTCCCGTGCTAGCACACTTCATGATACAGGTTACTCAAGCACGCGACGATGTTGTGACCTAGTGGTCAACCTCGTATACCTACTTTTGAAGTAACGGGTTGAAGTTCGATCCTGCAATTTATCTGCTGCGGAAAAAACAATTACCTGTTGGTGAGTGTTCACACGTCGGCGTTTTCGGTCGACGAAGGAAAAGGAAGCCTGAACCCTCTTCGCGCAAGACTATGGGAAGCAACCGCAGGAGGAAATGGCGGATCGAAAACATGAACGTACTGCTGTCACGAGCACGAAAGCTCCTTGCGACCTTTTTCCGGTGTGACCCCGGCTGATACAGTACTGTGGTCGCTTTAGTGCAGGGGTGCGTCCAGAGGTTTTACCAGCACAATCGCGGGCACCTGCTCTATTCAGGATCGAGGGATACATAGGTTTTAGTATTCCAGCTTAAATCTCTGTCAGCAGATTTCACCGGCACTATACCTAGCACTGGCACTATAGCGACCCCAGTACTGTACGCCAAAGATGTACAACGGAAGGTTTTGCAGACTGTCGGGAGAACATATTGGACGAACGCACACATCGTTTTGAAACGCCTCCTAGATGAGGGTTCTGTGAGCGCACTTCATCACACGGGTGACTTAAGATACCATACCCCCCGGTGCGCAAGACTACACCATGTGATACTTTTTGAATAATCCCAACATGTTAACCTACGGCATGTATGGCAGACGTTGTACAGATCTTGAGAAGCTTGTCTACAACAGTGGAGGGCCCTAATTACTGCCGGTATTTGCCCGGCGCATCGACCGGCGCTATTCAATGTACAGAATGACGTGCTGATTCAGTCTGTGCCCAGTGATTTCACCGGCGCTATACAGGGTCACCGGCATTTTTGAGACTTCCCCCCCCCCCCACGGTACAAGTATCTCTGGCGTCATTGATTGGCTCGCCGTCGGAAAATCGTTCCCTTGAGCTGGACGTACCCGACCACAGGTTCTCGTTGCCATCCTTCGTACTAGTTATGTTTTCGTTCCAACATTTATTTCATAGCAGTTGTGTCTTGAGGCGTAGCCGCCCGTTGGATTGTGAGGCGACATTTGCTGTGAAATATCATGTTGGAATGGATCCCGAGGCGGGATTTGCTGTGAAAATCATGCACAGTAGACCTTAATGCTTGATCCACATCATGTTTTTTCATGCATCCTCCCGCAGAGGTTACCCGTGGTGGACTCAGCGTGTGGTTAACCCTCCTCAGAACTCGTTCCACGAGACCAATATGCTTGTTTGCTGGGTAAGCTGGGGTATTGTTAGGGGCGCAGACAACATACATCCGCCGCTGCGTTGTCGACCAGTCAGGTGGCGATCGTTGTTGCGTTGTGAAAGTCTGAGAGATGCACTCGTTTTTTATCGTGAGAAAGGAAAAAAAAGGTCACAAAATCTCTGAACTACTTTGTGTTTCCGCTGACATGACCACGCGTGGCACTTCCGCCCCCATCTATTCGGTACGGTCGACAGGCTGCCGCGCTGAACGCCGTGGTCGCGGATGCGTCAACACATGTCATTCGCGGCACAACGGTCAGCGTTCAGTGGTCCAGAGGAGCGAAGGACGCCGGCAGCGGGGGAGACCGGCCCCGGCGCCGTAGCTCGGCTACCTCCAGCTCGAGCTCCGGCAACGGCAGCTCGCCCTCCAATGGCAGCGGTCGGTCGTGCGCCAGGCCGGGCATGTTTCCGCACAAGGGCGGGGGTGGACGGGCCGGGGGGGGCGGCGGCGGCGGCGGCGGGGCCGGAGCTTGCGGGGTAGGATGCAGCCATGGCTTCAGCCCGATGCGAAGCCGGGGCGCGGGGCACAGCATGCACGGCCCGTCCGCGGGGGGGGGGGGGGTGCCGTACGGGTTTGGCGGCGGGCGCCATGGAGAACACCACAACCAGCCGATGGTGAGTGTTGAGTCATGGAGTGGGTAGATGCCGTAGTCTCTCTCTTGCACAGGAGTTGTTGCGTTGAGACTGAGGCCTTCAAGAGGTTGCGAGACTCGGCGTGTTTGTTGGGACTTCGAAACCCCGTTTTGCGGTGGTGGAGGGTCCTTCCTCTGGTGGAGACATCAGTTCACGCTTCCTAGTGCGTCCGCTTCACTGCCCCACCTTTTGTCTCTGTCCTCAAGCTTCAGTGCCACTCCCCGCTGCATTCCCGCCCCCCCAGGTTTGCGTCGTCGTGCCTGCGCAACGCGCGGCCGCCCTAGGCTTTGCGCCACACCCTCCACACGGCTTTCACTCGACGGGCAAGTGCACGTCCAGGGGCACCGCCCCGTGCGACGGGCACTTTTCCTCCCTCGCGCAGTCGAACGCCGCCTCGGGAGGAGGAGGAGGAGGGCATCCGGGGTACGCATCCCACACGAGGTCCAACTCCCAGCCGATGAGTCACGGTGGCGGTAGCGTTAGCGGCGGCGGCGGCGGCGGCTATGGCCACCATGGCGGATCTCCCCACGGCAACTTCGACCACCACCACAGCGGGGCGGCGTCCGGGACGCCGCACCACCTGTTGGTGAACCCAAGTCACCACGTCTCGCCGAGCTCGAGCCACCTCTTCTCCCCGAGCTCCGGGCACCACATCTCGCCGAGCTCGGGCCACCGGGTCTCGCCCAGCGCGGGCAGGTCGTATGGAGCCCCCCCGGCGATGCACATGCCGCCCATGCCCCGCGAGAGACAGGGGCGTGCCGAGCCGAGAGATTACCCGGCGGGAGCGAGCGGAAGCAGCGGAAGCAGCCCGTCCTTCGGCGAGTACGAGAGGTCCTCGCAGTCGGAGAGTCACCTTCACTCCCCTCACGCGTTGCCCGAGTGGGGATACGACGATGCCGGCGGCAGCGGAGCGGGGCGCGCGGTGGGGGGTTCCATGGCAACCGCCCTAGGCGTGACACGGTCACAGTCCCCGCCCCCGATGGTGCGCAGCAGGATCGGGGGCGGTGCGCCACGCCCCCCATCGGCTTCTCCCAGGGCCTACGACGGCCACTACTCGTCTACCCGCTACAACGGTCGGGGGGGTTTTAATTGCTTCTCGGTAGCCGGGATGGGAGGGGCGAGCGGCGGCGTGGCAACGAGGCGCAGCTCCGAGAGCTCCGCCATGGTCGGGCGTAGCTCGATACAGCAGGACGCTCTCGCCGCGGCCGCAAGCTACTACTACGCCGTCGACGACATGGGGAGGGATGACATGGCTTACAGCCGTGACTGTCGTGGCGGCGGCAGCCGCGGGCCCGCCTCCCGCTTGCCGTAGGCCAGCGGAAGGCCATGGAGGGGGGTTAAGAGCGAAGCTCTCTCCGCGGCGCGGCAGAGAATGTGGTTAGCGAAACCGGGATTGGGGTGCTGGTGGCAAGAGCGAGTGCGATGTTAGACGGTGGGCCAAGCCGTGGAACCGCGCCTAATGTCCCGCATACTACATGTTTCCCGGGGCCCGGGTTTAGTATTGTGGAAAACCCGGCTGATGCGCAGGGCTATCCCGGAGCCAGCGGTGGCGTTCGGAGGAACCACAGCACGAGAAAGCAACTGCACGGTGCGTGCGCCTTGTCGTGGTAGTTGGGTGTCTTGCGCTGCAGCCACGGTGGCCGCTGCAGTTGGCATTGGGAGGAGCTTCGTCACCTCGCTAACCGTACGGTCGGTCTTTGGTGCGGTAGTTTTCCCCAGAAGAACGGAGGAAGAGGCCGCCGGCATCCCCCCTGCCCTTTTTTTATTTGTTCGGAAGCGTTAGCGGTCCCATGTGCGGCCGCGCAGTGCTGCGCTCGATAGACACGAGTGCGCTGCTTGCGCGAGAGATTCGATCGTGTGTTAGCTTGTGGTATAACGTCTTAAAGGAATCAGCTATCTTAGTCTCTTACGAGTTGGCCTTCCTTCGCCGGTGTTGAAACCCTTTTATTTTTCATTTTTTTTTTTGATGGGGATGTGTTGCCGTTTCCATCTTGTTTATGCGCGCGGTCGGCACTACTCCGGTCCGTAGAGGCTTTCATGGTGTGCCACCTGCCCCCACTCCTCTCCTCCTCCCCCGCTCGCCCCCCCCGGGTTTGTTCCTGTGGGAAATACGTGTCGAGCGGGATTGTTTGCGGTAGGTTGACGTGGCGCGATTGTAGTTGTTGCCATCGGCAGGTGGTGTTACTTTACCTGAGGTCGTACACACGTTACTGTGCTTTGCGCTTGATGACGGAGGAGAGAAGAGGCTTAATTGCGTGCAGGGTAACCGGGGAAGGGATTTGGCCTTCATTTCCGGGGCGAGGGGGCTCCGTGGGGGCGGTGTGGAGTTGCATGTAGTTCGGCGCAGATGGGATATTTAGTGCGTCGGAAAGCCTTCGAATCGAGGGCGACGAAGAGCTGACTTCTAGATTGTAAGCCAGCACGAGCAAGTTGTATAGGACAGCATGGAGCGGCGTAGAGAGGTAAGTTGCTATTCTTCTTTCCGGGTACATCTCCTTCTTTATTTATACCGTCTCGGCTCGTTGGAAGGAGCGCACCCCATTCGTGACTACATTGTGCTCGAGTCTGGCCCCCTATATATTCGCTTACTCTGCATATATATGTGTATCAACGAAGTACTACAGGAGTATGCTTTTGTGGGCGGGCTGTCGTTGCTGAAGGCGGAACGGGAGGGAAAGAGCTCTGGTTCTAGAAGGCCAGAAGGCGGAACAGGAGAGTAAGGGTTCTAGTTCTAGCCGAATTGTAAGTGGATCTTTCACTTGCGGGATTGGTATTACAGGAGGTTTGACATCGGAAGAGCCAGCAGGCGACACAACCGTCCCCGAACTTTGGTATCAATTCTGGGTAGCGCTGACATCCGTCCCGATTTCAGCCAAGGGTTTCGATGTGTTTTATTATACGTACATCTCTTCCAGTCCGTGTTTGTTTTTGGTTTGTATTGTGGAGGAATGGCCTGGCCTAGATAGAGAAAAGCCCGTAAGAGGTTTTCGAAACGGTCGTCATGTTCTTGTCTTGTATCAGTCTGACTTAGTATGACGCCCCGGCGTCGCTCTCTTGTTTCTTATGTTGGTGTCTCCGCCGCGCCCGGTGACGGTTGGTTGGGCGACGTTTGCGGACGGGTGTGGTGCATGTGGCGCTTGTTGTCCCGCGCGCAACATAGTTACGCCGGCGCCAAGGCTGGCTGACTTCTGGCCAAAGGGCATCAAAGCGAGGAGGGGTGGAGAGACAGTTGATTTCAGCCAGGTAGAATCGTTCTTTGCTACCCTTTGCCGCCGATATGTCTCTGGCCCCATTGAAGTGCGGATGTTGGCATGGTTTGCGAAAAAGTAGAACAGCAAAAGTTTAGAAGAGTCATCATGGTCCCTTGTCCTCCGCAAGAAGAGAAAGGTGCCCGATCCTCTAGTGATGCATGAAAACATTTTTTCGGAGTGTTCACCCGGTGCACAACACGACTTCAGCGGTGGCGATCGATGATGTGAATTGAAAAGTACGATATATTGCGTCCATGGTGTCATTTTTTAATTGATAGCACAAAGCACAAGTAGTAACAGGAACAGCTTTGTTCACCGGCCGGCGGATTAGGTGGTGGGCGACACGGGTGTGAGCGTGCGAGCGCATGATGATTATGATGCAGGCCGGTGGTAGTGTGCAGGTACACGAACGAAAGGGGGTTCGTCGCCTTTTTCGAACGAAGTTCTCTTCCTGGTATGTGTTGTTGTCATTGGGTACTGTGTGCTTCTCATCACCATCATCACCATTCAACGATGGATGGATGGGATGGATGGTGAACACATGTATATTCTTGTGCGGAGCCCTCGTGGATCCTCCCAACCGAATCTGGACACTGGTGAAACAGAACAAGAGGGTATTTCACGAGGAGCTGATCGCCACAACGTTGAATAGGTTCCCTTTGAACCATTGTGTGCCCCCCGTCAGACAACCACCAGACAGAACGGAAACTGCTAGAGGAACGCAACATCGCCCGTGTGCATCGAAACATGAAGCAAAGCCTTCTCTTGTACACGATGGGTTGCTACGCTTCACGGTCTAATCCTACCACACCTGGAGCCCCTGACAAGATTCACGTGTACTCTACCGTAGTGGTACGGATCGGAAGGACGACCGATGAATCGTTCTCGTATCGTTTCTCCCCAAGGGATATCTACGATAACACTCACACACGAAAAGGATGCACTCGACATACGAACACCTCTTAATCTACTACCTGCCTTAATAACGGTTCACCCGTTCACGCTCCGAAGGGTGTGGTTCCCCGGCAAACGAGCGACGTTTTAGTCTAATGGTCGCTTCTTCGATACACACAACGGTCGAGATTTTGGTTCTCAACAACATGCATGACGTACTTCGTAAATATGTCCAAGCTCGTCGAAAGCACACAACATCAACACCACGGCGGCATTGCGCGCCCAAAAGGGTGCACTGCGACGGCCATAAACAACGTTCAGCGAAGAAACAAACACGATCGCACGAATGAGTACAAACACATTGTCATTTATTTGTTGCAATCCGGGAAAACTCTACTTGTAGACTGTGCAACTCTCCCCTAACAGCAGTATCCCCGCAAACCGCGGTCGGTAGCACTCGTCCTTGCTCCTTTTATTATAAATACCCTAAAGATCAAGTATTGGACGTTTTCCGTGAGACATCTCAGCCCGTGTATATACTGTGTTCGACCTCGGCACCCAACGCACACCTTGGTCAACACCAGCCGCGGGCATGCCTCCTCCACACACACCGACGACAGCAAAAGTACGTACACCAACAGGCGAACTCAACCTTGCCTTCCTGCAATTCAACCACCGTTGAAAACATCCATTTGGTGACTAGATTGGGATCAATCTGTCGAACCTGATACTCGGTACAGATAAGACAAACATGCCACAAGTCTCAGAGGTAAAAACATTTGCGCATATTGGCGCATACGATGTATTGATGATCGGCCCTTCCCTCTGCTACCGGTCGTATCAGCGAGAGGGCCCTTCCTTAGAAACAATTTTATACAGTGTTACATGTACTTTGTGCTGCAGTTCATCAGGACCGCGCGCACCACTCGCGCCCACGCCTGAGTACTAAATTGCCGAAAGGTTGCGGTAAATCACCCAGTAAAGAACCCTCACACACGCTTCCAAACACTTGTCTTCGTGCGGAAATTCTTCCGTGTTCACCCTTTCATTACACGTCGAACAGCAAATGGAGTTCGGAACGAACCAGCATTACTACTGGAAGGCCCACTACGATGAGGATGACCAGGCGGCACCCTCCTCCACACCGTGGTCAGCGGTTTCCACCGCTTCTCTTGCCTCCCGGGCCAGCCTCGCCTAGGTGCTCTCCCAGCGGCGGGGGGCCTTCGGGCTCCCTTCCGCCGTAGCCTCCGGGCTGACCGCTCACGAAGAGACCTCCTCCGTGCCGCCATCACCACCACCCCTCATCCTGGCGTCCCGCTCGCGCCGGCGGGCCTCCTTCTCCTCCTCCTCCCCCGGCTCGATATAGAGCCACCGGACGCTAAGGGGGGCGGCGGTGGCATGGTGAGGTTTGGCAAACGAGCCCTCCAGACCCTCCTCAGGAGGATCGAGCCGGGGGGGGAGGGGTAGACGGCGGGGACGGCCAAGACATCGGAAGGCCTAGAGTCGAACCCGCATCGTGCTCGCCTCGCCCGTACCGGACGGAAGATGACCTGGGTCTGAGTTTGGTCCGCCACACGCGAGGGAGGAAGCAGATGACAGTGGGGGTGAGTGTCGTGCAAGATGAGATGGAGCTCGTGAATATTATATGAATACTTGAACGTGGCGAAAGAAGTACAAACTACAGTCCCTACGAGTGAATATGTAGACGGGTCGCTGTCTTCGCAGCAGAGCAACAGGTTGGGACGGTGTAAACGCCGTCGCAAAAATACCCGAACTTGTCTAGGAAAATCTGCAGTATCAAATTCACCGGCAGCTAGTTGCTAGTGCCGAAGGGGGCGCCGGCCTTCGCCCTGTCCTCGTACACATGCCTTGCGGCACGATCACCGTCGGTGCTGCTCGAGATTTTCTACCTGTGGGCCAATGTCAAAATGTGGTGCGCCATGCAAAATGTCATGTGAGCTTATGCTTGTGGAAGTCGATTTTCGTGGGTCCTGCAGAAGACGGGACAGTTTACACTCTGCCGAGGGCCACTGATCACAGCAAGCAGTGCGCACATCAGGGTATTTCTGAGGTTTCAATCGTAACCCTTGCCGTAGTTTAATCATCTACGTGCGAGGGCCTTGCTGTTGTTCAATGTGCCTCAGCGATGACTACGTTGTCTAGCCAGATCAAAGTGAGACGCCAACCCTCGGAGCACGCACGCAACCGCTTGTGAACACTACTCCCACGCCCATTCAAGTTGGCGCAAACACAAAACTCACCGTCTCTTCAACCACGTTCATGCACCGTCAAACACAATTGCCCCGCTAATGATGACGGCGGCACTTGCGCCAGCGTAACTGTCGGGGACGGAGGAATGACGGGCCAGGAATGCAGCAGTTGCACCGGACGCGAAAAGCGTCGTCCATGACATATAAATTGGACAGAAATGCGAATGAATGTTGATGGCCCTTGCGAAATGGAGGTTGGGAGAAGATTACTCAACCTCCATCTCTGCTGTCGGATCGGTTTCGTTTTGGAATACCGTTAGCTGTTGGCCGAAGTGTTTCCCACACATGGCAACAACACATGCATACATACCTTGAGTTCTAATTGGGTATTTCGCTGCTTGTAGTCAAATATTTCCAGACGGCGGTTCTTTGTGATGGGCATCATATTTATGTCGTCGACCTACTTTAAGTATTGGCCAAGGGTATTCGGATTGCCGAAGAACCCTTCTCGTGACTTAATCAAGCAGTGACAACGCTTGGGGGGTTGGACGAACGGGAGGGCGATCTATGAGTATTGGGCTATCAAGCTATGTAACGGACCAAAAGACGCAGAAGAGTTAGTTGGTGCAGATGACAAACATGCGACACGTACTTACACATACGTATGCATGCATGAGATATATGAGATGGGAAGGTATGTATGAGAAATGAGACGGGAGGGAGAGGAAAGACATGGAACAAAAACGAAGGTGGGAACTCTCAAGCCCACATCAAATTTAGGCGAGCGCAGAGCAGGATCAGGACAAGCAAGTTTTGATGAGAGATAGACAACCAGAAATATAATAGGAGAACGAAGGAGTGGATGAGGAGTCGAGACCTAAGATAGACAGATAGAGACAGAGAGAGATACACAAGAAAGGCACGAAGACGTTATGCAAGAAATACAAGAAACGGGATACATATGTATTGTGAGCGCTGGGTGTCGTAGTCTACATTCATTCACAATCACGAATTTTGCACCGTGATCTATCCGGAGACCCACCATGCTCATTCTAATGGTGGAGAGCTGAAGCAGGACATGGGTTTCTCTGATTCGAAACACATGTCGGTGCACTCAAACGGGTGTCTCAAATGCTGACCGATATTCAAATCGAAACGAGAATATACTGCGGACAGGCTTTCACCCTGGAGCAAGCCGACATGTCATGGGCTACTACACAGGTCGACCACGACGTATCTTTCCTGGGCTACAGCTACTGAGGCCACTACAGACAGCATTTGCATCTTGAGGGCGCGGTGAGCGTGTTTTTACTTCGTACATCGCACGCTCTGTACCCTCACACGTGGTCGCAGCATCGTTCGGCGCCAAGCAGCACAACAGGATACCGTGAGAATCCAGACAGACTCTCGACTGCTGTGCATAGATAGACTTATTCTCCTTGTAGCACAATTCGTGTGTACTCACTCGTATTATAGCATCGTCGACAGAATATTCGCAGGGTATGCATATATCTGGGTCCCGTGCTCACACTCCTGTTGCATGGTTCTGTGCCGTTGTGGCCCTCCATGGCCTTCGACCAAACCCTGTACTCCCGTCCCAAATAATCCATCTCTCTGTTGTTGTAGTCGTTGAGGGTTGGTGGGAAAAGTGGGAGAGGTGGGTGCGTATGACGCCTGCGCCGAGATGATATTTTGTACCTATTTATTTCGAGCTCGGTCCACTCCCACACATCTTTGATAGATTCACTCCTGCTATTTCGGATCGATACATTCGTGGATTGGACTATTTGTTCCAAAAAGAACAGCAGCAGCTGACGTATTTTTCACTCGAACAGTCCAGGCAACGATAGAGAAAGCAGGAGTTGTAGATGTATTTTCTTTTCATTTCGAGCTCCGGCCCCCGCGGTCGCTTTCACACATCTTCAATGGATTCACTCCTGCTATGCATATTTTGGATCGATTGGTTCGTGGATTAGACTAGTTGGTCCAAACACACAGCAGCAGGTGACGTCCTCGTCGCTGAATAGGCAAGGGCAAGGATCGTAACCTATCCGACCTGCCGAGAGAGGAGGTAGCCCCTTGCCTCAGAGTGTTAAATCTTGGCGTTGGTGTTCAAGAGAGTAGAAAAGGCCTTGGCTTGACCAATCAGCTAAAGGCACTATTAGGTGCAACGGACGCATAGCCAGTTCTTCCCCCGTACCTACCGAGCAAACCTGAGATCAGCTCGTACCCTTATAGGCGGTGTCTCATGGCTACGTATTTCAAGGGCCATACCGGAGTCGTGCCAATATCCATACGCACCGTAGCAAACATCACCAACACCCAGCCGGAGAGTACCTACAGCACCGGCGCCGTGTGGCTGCTGTGTGTAGTTGCAGTACCGCCGTCGTGACATTCAAACGGGCGAGCCATCGGGTATGTACCACTGTCGAAATTCAAAATGGTGTCTGACATCTAGAGGTCAATGAAGCAAAAAATAGCGGTGCAACAGTAACTCCTCAAATCGAGCAGGAATGGAGCTGTACATGTCATTTGCAATCCTCTTCGCTGTCTATGACTCACGCGCAAGCCTCACGTGGTGTCTGGTACCCTAGCGACAGCGAATGGCAGATGAGCTTGACTGCCAGTGCTTCTCACACGGCCCATGGTCCGCTATCTCGTGGTCCGTTTTCTCCACCCTCCGGAGATTGCACTCCAAGCTGTCTCTTGCATCCGCGTTTGGAGGATGATACATGCTGTCGGTTGGTGAAATCCGCCCCATGAGGAACCATCATGGCGCTTGTCTTCGGCAACGCTGTTGTGTACGGGTACATCACAGGGGGCAAAGGGCTATGGTTACGGAAAGCAACACAGGGCGGCTGTCACAGGATGGTTTCTGACCTTTTCTGTGCTACACGTAGGCACCACCCTTTTGTTGTCGCTGGTGATGTCGTTCTCGTCTTGACAAACACTGAAAGCTGTCGTGATCTGGACTGGGAATTATTGCATCGACGTTCTTTGTGGCCAAAGCCGTAGGGAGGACTTCCAGCGGTTACACTACAGGCCAACGCTCACGCAGGAACCTGTACATAACTTCATACTAGGGTGAAGGATTGGCCCCCCGCCCCCCAATGGGGCGGGCGGCCACAATGAGATCGATGACAGTGAGGAGGAAGTCAAGGAAAATAATATGGAAGGCGACTCGTTGAGAGTGGCAAGTAGGGACGGTGTATGGAGTCGCAATGAAGACGTGAAGACGTTCGTTCGCGAAGAGCGAGAGGGCACGGGATGGAATTGGTAGCGGTCGCCGAAATGGACGGAACAGAAAATAAGCAGCGATGAAATCATGTTGATATATAACAGATGTAAGAAATGGTCGACCGTCGTTACACTAGAAAAGAGAGTACCCTCAATCATTTTTATCTATTGCACTTTGTAGAAATGATAGTCCCCAATTTTACATATTTCCTGCGCAACATACATGTTCAGTCACGCGCTTCTCCTATGATTAAAGGTCGACACACGTCGCACAATGATTGACAGCATCGACCATGGAGGCATACCGTACACGTCAGCCGTATTTGTGGGCCTAGCGCAAGCCAATCCGGGGTAGTGCAGGTAGCATGCAAGTAGTTGCTGCAGCTATGGCTGGTGGGGGAAATTTGAATTTGTCAGCTGCCGCCCCAACCTCTGCCCACCTGGTGGGGTACATAGCCGTTGTTTACCCCGCCAGCTGTCGCATGTCGCTCTAAAAGGCTCCAATCGACAAACAAGCACCGGTAGGAGTGTTTGGTACATGCATGTGCAGCGCACAGCAGCGGACAGCAGGTCAGGTGGCGAGCGCGTCAAGTACTCCCGCCACAAAGTTCCAAACACGTCAGGTGGGAATCGAACACGGCCTTCTCCCTTCCTGCAGGCAGGCTTTCTTCAGCAACACGAGGATCCCTCTGCTGTATCTCGACCTACAAGACGCCAATAGACGCACAAACACCGGTAGAAGTGTTGGGAGCATTGAACCCACAGCACAACTTCACACTCCAACACGACTTCTATGTGCTGTAGTAAATCAGGAGTACCATGTGGGAGATCTGCCCGAGGAGTCCCTTTGACCGGCAACCAATCTGGCGACAGCTTTGCGTGCACCAGATAGTTGGTCGGCAGCATCATGCGGCAGGTGCACGACACGCGAACGGCTGTTGTCATCGCATTGCAGTATGGTTCGACGTCTCAGGAGGTATCCCATCCAGTCATGGTCGTCGCCGTAGGCGAACGTTGTTCGGTGTCTGGTCCGTAGACTACTGCTGTAGCCAAAAAGCAAATCGAGCTACAGTAGTACAACTATTTTGTTTTTCCCTATACTAATAGCAAGAAATGTGTCACGTCATGACGACCTATAACATGACCATAGACTCCGATTGAGTTCAACTTCCATACAGCACCACACAGCGCTCGGCAGTTGCATCGATGACTCCAGGACGACAAAGAAACACCAGCAGCGGCATGCAGCCGCTAACTGCAACAACAGTCACAGCAGTGGTGACACTTGCAGAAGCCGAAATCAAAGCAGTAGACTAGTCAGCGCTGACTACAGTTGAGGCCCGCACTTAAGAACCTCCTGTTCTGAGCGAGGCTCAGTTCTTATTGGCTGCCCCAACCCGAGCACGTGTTCTTATTGGCCATGTTCTTATTTCGCCGTCCATTTTTCTCCAGCGAAATGTTCTTGTTCTTATTTCAACACCAATTGGCCCTGTTGGCAAACGTTGTATGACGACGTACTTTGTTGGCGGCTGTCAACTGCACTCGGCGGAGTGTTTATAGTGTTTAGCATGAGGAACAATGCTGTTGTTTGGTACAAGAACACACCCAGGCATGCAGCAGCAACTGTCAACCATCTTGGTCCACAAGGGTGACGTTGGTCCTGCGTACCCTCCCCGATCTACTAACGCTCTCAAGCAAAACCCAGGAGCCTACCGCCGCATCCAGATCTCCGGTGTACTTGTCCAAGGGCAGCTTCATCTTGCGCGTAGTCTGGTCTAGCTCCAGCTGCACACAGTAGTCGTACAGGTGACGAGTGCCCTGCTGAGATTGCTGAATGATCAACCCTCGAAACCACCCCATNCACTGTCGAAAAGGGCGGTTTTGGAAATATCTCATCGAGAGCTTTCCTGAGAAGTATCTGTTGGCGCTCGCACCCTCCTGCTTGTGGAGAAATTACGCTTTGAAAATCGTTCGCACCCCTGTGCGCTGTGCTCTAGCTGACTCGCAACCTTACGGNACTCCCCGTCGCAAAAGCAATCTGTCAAGAGCAACGGGTTTGACTTCTTGAATGCGAAAGCCTGTCGGGATCTCCATTCCTTGTGATGCGTCCTCCGGGTCTTGTGGGTCCATGCTGTCGTCGTCGTCGAGAAGAGCTAGCTCATCGGTCTGGGTTTGGGACGTGCGTGCGAACGGGGCACCGTGAAACACCACAAGAAGTACGGTGTCACGGCCGAAACTCAACATGGACCAATCATATTTGNATCGGGCGCCCTGTACCGTACCGGCTCTTGCAGGAGCTTGCGAAACAGTCGGTGGAAGCGCTGGATCTTTGGTAGGCGCTCCTCAACAGACTTGTTCTTAAGGTTGGTCCGACGCCAAAAGGTTGTGCCTCTTGGCCCATTTTCGTACCCACCTGAAGGATGCACGGAACGCCGCCGCCCGCTGGTCCCCGGGATACATCTCTCGTACGAGCTTCCGGAACGTGATCGTCAGCCACAGGGTCGATACCTTCAGCTTCCTCTTACGCCGCTCCACGAACACCTTGTAAAGCCGCTTTTCTGCCTCATNGTGAAACACCACAAGAAGTACGGTGTCACGGCCGAAACTCAACATGGACCAATCATATTTGGTCCTAGTCGTGAACGTGGAAACAGCACATCAGCAAAATCCAAGCAAATATCAACATGGACAGCGTCATCAATAAGGAAATGACAAAGATCNTCTTCCTCACCTCGTCTGCTGCCGCCGCGACTATGGCCTTCTCGTCCTTGGCCCACCTCACGATGTTGCTGTAGTGAACCTTGAGACGATCCTCTAAGTACTGAAGAGGCGTGCGCTCCTCCTCCTTCCAGAGGTCCGCGGCGTTGTCCTCGAGGATGCGCAGCTGGTTGACAGCATTGGCTTTGAACCTATATCNATAAGGAAATGACAAAGATCGGGTCTAGTGCAAATCAAACTTACCGCCGTCGTCTTCATCATCGCTGGAATCAGCGCCCTCAACGATCGTCTCACGTCCATCCCCTTCCTTCCCCCGCCCCTCAGGCTCATCGCTGCTNGATCCTCTAAGTACTGAAGAGGCGTGCGCTCCTCCTCCTTCCAGAGGTCCGCGGCGTTGTCCTCGAGGATGCGCAGCTGGTTGACAGCATTGGCTTTGAACCTATATCCGTATCGCCTGCGCTTGGGAGCTCCACGAGTTTCCTTGGTTTCGCGGTCCACAAAGCCGTCGCTTTCCAAGTCTAGTTCGAGAAAGCGCTTCCGTTGGAGGACAAACGAAGCCGCCCCTGTCGCATCATCGACCTTCACGNCATACCAGGCGAGAGTGTTGCACTCCTTCGCAAGATACTCCTTGAACTCGTCCGTCGTCTGCGCGTGCAAGTTGTCCATGATAAGAATGGACCTCGCCTTGGGAAGCTCACCCTGCCCGCGCATCAGGCCTTCGCGTTTGGACCTCTTTGCCCACTCCATACAGAACTTTTGGTCGGCCCAAGCATTCGCCTGGAAAAACGNCGGCTTCTTCCCACGGCAGGACACGCCCTTCGAGATTCTTCCGTAGCATCGGCCGCAGCCGCATGCCGTTGGACATGTTTGCATTGCTGTGCTGCGTTCTCACGTGGATCCCAAGGCCTTGCTCTTTCACGAAGGTCATGGGACAGTGAGGGCAGGATCGACGGGACTCCGGGGCCGGAGGCGGGAAGCTGATACCGGATACGACCTCTTTCACTCCACCAAGAGTCCGCTNAGCCCGTTTACGAATGCCAAAGGCGCTTGATCCACATTCCAACGCTCCCAGAGCTGGAATTGGCCATACTTGGGAACTCTGGACTCCCTCTCTGCGACCGTCGTAATCGCCGATACGTCCGACTCATCGGGAGCCCTGTACCGTACCGGCTCTTGCAGGAGCTTGCGAAACAGTCGGTGGAAGCGCTGGATCTTTGGTAGGCGCTCCTCAACAGACTTGTTCTTGAGGTTGGTCCGACGTCTTTTGGACAGGTTGTGCCTCTTGGCCCATTTTCGTGCCCACCTGAAGGATGCGCGGAACGCCGCCGCCCGTTGGTCCCCGGGATACATCTCTCGCACGAGCTTCCGGAACGTGATCGTCAGCCACAGGGTCGATACCTTCAGCTTCCTCTTACGCCGCTCCACGAACATCTTGTAAAGCCTCTTTTCTGCCTCAGGAAACCACCGCTTAGGCTGCTGCTTGGCGAGGAGGCTCTTCTTCACGTCGTCTGCTGCCGCCGCGACTATGGCCTTCTCGTCCTTGGCCCACTTTACGATGTTGCTGTAGTGAACCTTGAGACGATCCGCTAAGCACTGAAGAGGCGTGCGCTCCTCCTCCTTCCAGATGTCCGCGGCGTTGTCCTCGAGGATGCGCAGCTGGTTGACAGCATTGGCTTTGAACCTATAGTCGTATCGCCTGCGCTTGGGAGCTCCACGAGTTTCCTTGGTTTCGCGGTCCATAAAGCCGTCGCTTTCCAAGTCTAGACCGAGAAAGCGCTTCCGCTGGAGGACAAACGAAGCCGCCCCTGTCGCATCATCGACCTTCACGTGCCAACAACGCCCAGGCCCGGCTTCTTCCCACGGCAGGACACGCCCTTCGAGATTCTTCCGTAGCATCGGCCGCAGCCGCACGCCGTTGGACATGTTTGCATTGCTGTGCTGCGTTCTCACGTGGATCCCAAGGCCTTGCTCTTTCACGAAGGTCATGGGACAGTGAGGGCAGGATCGACGGGACTCCGGGGCCGGAGGCGGGAAGCTGATACCGGATACGACCTCTTTCACTCCACCAAGAGTCCGCTCAATCTGCTCGGTGCGATGGGAAAGGGCGGAATTGCCGTGTAGGGGATTCAACGAGCCATGTGACGTGTCAGTCGCTCGTAGTTGTGGCGCTGTTGAATTCAAACTTCCGTGGATGCCGCTGGCAAAAGTATCTAAGCACTCTGAACGAATACTTCCTTGAAAAGATTATCGTGAATCACACGAGAGAGTGGGGAGATGACGTCTGTTCGTTTGGGTCACATAAGACTAATAAGCTTACCTTTTTTTTTTTTTAATTTTTTCTCTTGCTTAGACTATGGGGAACAATAAAAAAAAACACCTGTTTAGCAAAACAAAGCAACAGCGTGCGTCGGATACATATGTAACCGAACTCACCGGTTGTCCGCTGCCAATCGAGAACGCGTTGCAGATGTTGCCGCCCAAAGTGCCTTTCGCAGCTCTCTCCCTGGCGTGCTCNTTGTTGGGATGACAAGGGCAGGCGGGTGCTGCTGGTAATGCCCTGGATTTCACCATCAATCTGCGCGATCCACTCTCCTTCGTCGAAGATACCGTTCTGCTTCAACCCCCACGCGCTCTCGATGGCGTCCCACCGCTCCTTCGCAACGGAGTTTCCCGCCTTCACATGTGTTTTTATCGTCTCGAAGTGACGGTCAAGAATCAGACCCCGTCCTTTCAACTGTGCAAGTTTGCCAAGATCTTTCAACAACCCATGGGATAAGGGATTGGACAGGGACATGATCCCCCTGTACGGCAGGCAACTCGTGGCCCGCTGCACGTGCGTGGCCTGGCAGCCGCCAAGGGGGCGTGACGTGTACAGTGCCCCCCTCCTCTGCAAAAATTGCAGATTCCGAGGTGTATGTATGCACCCACCTTCGGCACACCTACCCCCCTGGCAAAGCTAATACTTGGATCACCCCCCCGCCCGTCCCCCCCTCCCCGTTGGAATGTTCTTATCTCGCAGCTGCTGAATGTGCTCTTGTTCTTATCTTTAGCAGCAGTGGTACACCTCAGGCGTGCGTTCTTATTCTTATCTGCAGGTGCAACCTGAGCACGTGTTCTTACCCGCAAATTCTCAATTGTTGTTGTTTTTAGCACCATCTTCTTAAGTGCCATATTCTCAAGTGCGGGCCTCAACTGTATTTAGTCTAATGGTTTGCCGTTTGATTTACATGTAGGTTCAAAACACTCCAACGGCGACACGTTGCCAATCAAATCACAGGAGAAATGTGTTGCGCACTTCGTCAGCACAAGCGGACACGGAAAATATCAGTAATATTTCGGCATAAACACACGCACGCCAACCAACGTGCTTCAGCATGACAGCAGCGGCGGCAACCACATCGGTTCGCGGCAGCAACTATTTACATACAGTCAAACAGCGTCGTCAAGTCGTCAATCACCTTGAAGAACTGTCCGGCTCGAGGTGGAGAAGACTAAGACTGTCCACGACTCGCCTCCTTGGCATCGCCCGGTCACCTCGTATCCCGTACCATGACTTTCGTCCATCCGCCGATCGATCCGTTCCGACCACCGCCCCCACCGCACACAGCCGTATTCGTCAACAGGTCCACATCAAGACCAAACAATGATATGTTACCGCTTCGATCTTTCTCGCTTTCCTTGCCGTCTCCCCGACGCTGCTGGACAGCATTTCTCTCTCGCACCGCGCCGCCCTTCGCTGCTGTACCAAGCATTCGTGGGAAGAATGGTCGGCTGGCGCGAACGTCGTAGGGAGAAGCGCGCGACCCACACCAAGGCAGGCCGGATAGTAGTCTCCGATGCTGTAGAGGAAGCTGCAGCAGGGAGAGGTGGCAATTGCGCTGGGAGCGATGCTCGATGGCCTCCTGGCCGAGATTGGCAGGCGAAGTAGCAATATGTTCGTCGTTAGAGGGCTTGCGACAGCCGCACCACGGGGGGCATCGGCATCGTCATCCTCCCGAACGGTACATCATTGACTTTCTAACGTGCCTGGGGCAGGGTATGCTGGCACGGAATGTACTGGTAAGCAGGCAAGTTGCAGGTACAGCAGTGGGACACAACGACGTACTTTGTCGACCAAATTGCAGCATTGCAGCATTGCAGCATTGCAGCATTGCAGCATTGCAGCATTCCAAGCAGTGCGGCACAACCACGTCCACAGCTACGGGACTGTGGGTTTGGGTTGCACATGATCTGGTATTTATTGTTATATGTGAGCACATGATGAAAGGAAGAGGCGTTGCGTCTCGTAACGCCATACTGCTGTAACGCCATTCTCATATATTTGCCTGCGGCCTGCGCAACCAAGAAGCAACAGATTCAGGATCTTCTCCATGTAGACGACGACAAGCGACACACTTGGATCTCTCAAGACGGCCACATGCAAGACATATGCACAGCAGAGTCACTTGAGGACCGCAAGCCACACGGCAAAGCAGCGCCATGAAATCGTCATGTTGTACGCTCACCGCAGGCGTGCGTACCACAACAACAACCCGACACTACAACTAAAAGTGGTGCTTGGAGCCACGGTCACAACAAGCACGCCTTGTGCGTTGCTACGTGTTACAGCGAGCACAATGTGGGTACACTGCATGCGTATAAGAGTATTCACATGTTTGTATTTTCTTATTGACTCAGATAATCCATCTCTATCCCGAGTATTGAATAGTCCAGCCAAGTCCAGGATAAATTTGCAAGGAAACAACATCCTCATTTTGGTGTTCTGTGACGTTTGCTGGATTGTTCGAGTAACAAATGCGTCAGTCAGTCGGCTGCTGTGTGTTTTGGATTTTAGACCAAATAGTTTAATCCACGAGTTAATCGATCCGAAAATGCAGGAGGAGTGACAACCCATCGAGATGTGTGAAGCGACCCCGGGGGCATGGGGCTCGAAAAAAAGAGAAAATTCTCTGCCGAATGCATTAGTCTAGTAATACTAGTCTATCTATGCTGTAAGACACGCCCACCCCTCCCACTTTCCCACCGACCCTCAACGACTACAGTCGACTGCAGACGATTCCTGCAGCACTACACTTGTACAACCACTCCTAGCAGCGTCGACAGAATACAAGCTGGGCATGCACTTACACATGTTGCTCCCGTGCGCACACACCGGTTGTACGCGGTCGTGTGATTGTGCTCCTCCCCATGGGTCTTCGGGTTCTGGAATCCCGTTCCAAATATTCCATCCTCTCTTGTGTATTTGTGTAATATTTAGAACGGGAGCACACGATTTAGTCCAAGACCCATATTGAGGAGCGCAACCAGACAGCCCCGTACAACCAGCGTGTGAGCAAGCGAGCCACGTAATGTGTGTTGACACCCGGATTGTATGCTGTCGACGATGCTAATGTAGGAGTGATAACACAAAGGTATAGTGCTACAAGAGCAATGGTCGGCAGTCGAGTCTGTCTGGATTCTCAAGCTATCCTGTTGTGCTGCTTGGCGCCGAGCAATGTTGCGATCACCTGTGAGGGCCAGAGTGCTCGATATACGAAGTGAAAACGTGTGCCCACCGCGCCCTCAAGTGATGCCAATTGCTGTTGGTATTGGCCTCAGTAGCTGTAGCCTAAGAAACGTAATAGAAGTGTTCGATCTACAAAGTAGTCCATGACATATCGGCTTGCTCCAGGATAAAAATCCTTCGGCATGATAATCTCATTTCGACTCGAACATTGGTCAGCATCTGGGACATCCGTGTCGTGCACAGACATGTGTATCGAATCAGAGAAAGCCATGTCCTGCTTTAACTCTCCACAATCAGAATGAGCATGGTCACGAATACCATTCGTGGTTAGACAAGGGAACGGTGAATAATTTAGACTACGACATACAGTGTTTGCGATACATATTCCTTTTTCCCTATTTTTTCTATACTCGTACACGTCTTCTCGCCTTCCTTGTGTATCTTCTCTTTCTCTCTCTCTCTCTCTCTCTCTCTCTCTCTCTCTCTCTCTCTCTC